ATATATATATATAGATATAGATATATATTTGTGTTAACATGTTAGCTATAAATTTTATTGCTGTTCTCATAGATATTCTGATGAACGTGGTGTTTAGTGCATCATTTCATGCTTTCTATGCATGTTCTTTATTGTCTTCTTATAGAATGCCTTCTCTTTTTCTTGTACTCTGTACAATCTTGCTATTATTATATTTCATGTCTCTTTATTTTCTTTTATACTATAATATCAGATGGGTTTGTGGAATCAAGTTATCCGTTGTTTGGATTTTGTTTTCTTCTGCAGGGTATCACAGGGAGCTCCTCTCGTCTTGCTCGAGCGGAGGGTTCTCAACCTGAGGTTGAAGTCTCAAATGCTGAAATGAGCAGCCATAAAGTCTTGACCGATGCTAAGGAAAACGAGAGTGCCATGAGTACAGGTTTAGACAAGCATGATGACATAGTGAAATCTTTCAGTACTTGTTTTAAATCATCTGATGAAATTGCCCAGGTAAGGCTTACAGTTCTGATAACAGCATCATTGAGGCAACCTTTCGTTTCTCCTACTTCTTTGCAGTTATCTTTCTTTCCACTGGCTTTGCAAAGTTTCTGAAACGGGTTTTGTGGAGCAGGAGGAAGATCCTAAAATTCTTCTCTATAAAAACCTGTGGGTTCAAACTGAGGCTACACTGTGTTCGTTGAAGCACGATATTGCTCTCATGAAGCTGGAGATGGGGAGCATCAAGAATCATTTCAAAGGTTAAAGTTTTCAAACCTATATACTTTCCGTCCATCTTTCTACACATCTAAAACATTGTTCATGTGCAGCCAAATCTCTAGTTTCATCAGATGGATTGGCAGAGCCTGTCAAGGAACATTATGACTTAAACTGTGCTACTTCCATATCTGCGGGGAGTCCAAGCAGAAGCAATTCAAAATTTGAAAAAAATCGTATGCAGAGTATATCAAAGGATGAAGAGGTTGATACTTCAGTTTTTGCACGATACAGAATTCTAAAAGGTCGTGATGACGTTGCTTTGTCTGGTCTGGTTGAACCACAGGAACTTAATGCAATAAAATCTTCTGTGGACAGGGAGAAAGGGGAGATGAAAGAACTGTCACCAAACCAAGCTGATAAGAATGCCTTCGAGAAGAAGGGAGTCATCAAATCACATAATGCGAGTAAATTTGTGGTTGCTAGTCCTAAGAACCTGAAAGGCGAGAAGCTTCTTGCTTTGGATCATGGAGTGGGAAGTGGGCTCTTACTGAATAATACAGACTCTCCAGGAGTTCAAGAATCACATCTTTCAGCCACAGGTGGCTCTGTGATCCAATCTTACAACCCTAGAAGCCTTGGCAAACGGTTGTTGTCGAGTGGCAGCGGCAGCCCTTCTTCTGAGTGGGAGCATGTGCTGAAGGATGAGTTCACTTGGTAGAACATTGCCTTGGAACTGGAATTTGACTGAATTGCTTTTACCCGTCATTATGTGGTAAACTTGGAATATTTCACTTTGTATATATTTTGACAGACAATGTTTAATGCTTATATATATATTTGCTGAAACTAAAAATAGAATGTTTTATCAGTGGATGTGCAACTTTTGTGGATATACATGCATGCGGGCTTGGGTAGAGTATGGAGGTTCCGTTTTCCGTTCGTTTAATGAAAAAAAATAACATTTTTGCTTGGGGGCATTTACATATTGTTGAATTATGATTTGTCCATTAATCCCACCCGAAGAATAGAACGTGTAAGATAGGAGGGATATGCACAGAGAGAGAAATGCATGGTAATGAAGAGTAATATGAATTGTTGATTAGCACTTTCTTATGAAATGGTCCTCTTGTTTATAGAGGATGGGTATAGTCTATGAAATTACATGTTTTTCCCTATTTTAATGGGGTGTTACATGATATATCTGGTATTTTACATATACGGGCTTACTGCTCGACTACTCTATGACTCAGTCGGCTGAAATCAGGGAGTCTTGGTTTGGTCAAGACATGTGGGTCTGATTGTGTTGAGTTAGTGTCGTCAACCGACTTTTAATGAACTATATGACAAAACTCAGCTCGGTCGACTTGATTTTGTCCGTCTGTTGTTTTAGTCTGGTTGTCGACTATCGATCTTCAAGGGCTTCGGTCGGTAGAGTAAGATTAGACTATCGGGCAGATGATGAATTATTTTAATTCGATAAGTAACTAACTCCTTTACGAAGGGGGTCCTTTGGCATGCTCAGTGGATTATATTATGGCTAGTTCTCGGCCCCTCATGAGGAACCTCAAGGGTGTCTGTGAGATGACTGGTGATGTTGAACTCTTCCTTTTAGTTAGGTTATGACAAGAGGTAGGTTGATGACTTGACTTAATTAGCCTTGGTCCTCGAGACATCTGATCGGCCTCAGCCTCAGTTTAAGGGAGCTACCCTTGGTCAAGTGGTCCTTTGGTCTCACGTTAATGGGCCCTTTGGTCTCCCACTAGTGGGCTCTTTAGTCTTTCGCTAGTGAGGCCACCTTAGTTGCATTACTTTGTTTTTTTATCAGTTGAATCTCCACGAGATTCATGTTGAAGTGTTTTTTATGTACATATTTTAGTTTCTCGATTCTCTTATTAAAAACGACATGTCAAGGACTAACTTTTCTCAAGTCACCTGTGCGGGTTTAGCGCTCTTCTTTAGCACTAAATCAACCTAATATCTCTCACAAAACTTGGACTTGTAAGCACAAAACACTCTAAGAAGAAGGGTAGAGATAAGTATTGGAGAAATGAACACTTCATTAAGAAAGAACAATTACAACACTTGAATGCTTAGAAGCTTGGATGCTTTCTTAGGTGATTACAAATGAGAGCAGAGGCTCTTATTTATAGCCCCCTCCAAGCCCAAAAGAACTTTCTAGAATACATCAAGCTTATTCTTGTTTCTAGAGAGTTATACACTCCTCTGATGTAAATACATAGCCCTAGAGCTTTCTAGGTTGCTCTGGAGTTTATCCATGGAGCTTTTCCATTTAGCATTTTTCGAAATGTGGTGGAATCTTCTAGAGTCCTATGGATGTCTCTATATATTCTGGCATTCCCTAAAACCTTCCATCTCATGAGGGTTTTGCCAATTTCTAAAATATGGCAGAGCGTGACACTCTCCCCCAGTTAAGCTCGCAATGCCCTCATTGCGGCTTCCTCTTGGCACTCGGGCTCCCTTCCTTTGTTTGATCTTGGCAATCTTGGGTTCTTCCTTCCTGGTTGGCAACTCCATCCTTGGCTCCAGCCTAATCCGATGATTTTTTTCCCTTCTTGGTGGTAGAATCTCCACCACTTCCCTTGGCATGCCTCCTCGAGGCTTCTCTTCTTCATCCGAGTCATGAACAACTGCCAAGTTGCTCCTCTTGTATTGTGGAATGTCCTTCTTGAATTGGATAGTCGATAGTATTTTAACTTCTTGCTTCTTAGCCATTATTGTTGGAACTAAGCAAGCTTGGTTGCTTTCCGTGATGCATATGTTATTGGCAAAGGGCATTGGGAATGCTTTTGTTTGATCCAAGAAGTTCATCCCCAGGAAAATTTTAAAATCATCCATTGGAATACCAAAGAAGTCTAAGATACCTAACCACATTCCAATGCTGGTCTTTACTCCTTTGACTAATCCATGGATTGGCGTTACTGCTGAGTTGACTACCTTGATGGAGCCTCTTTTAGTCATCTGCAAACCCAGCCTCTTTGTTTTTTGCACGGAGATGAAGTTAGGAGAAGAGTCTGTGTCCACCATTGCCTTAGTGGTCTTCTCGCCTATTACCATCTCTAAAAACAATAACCCCTTTGTTTGGGGTTTTGTTGGGGCTTGCATCCCATTCAACAGTTGTATAGATCCAACTTGTGCCACCATATCACCACCTTCTTCCTCTTGATGGCTAGCAAGAAAAGACTTTATAACCTTCTTCTGAGGGCAATTCCTTGCCCAATGAGGTCCTCTACAAAGGAAGCAGTTGTTATGTTGTTTTGTTTTGCTATTAGACACTCCCTTGTCTCTTGCTTTAGGTGGGGTTGATTCGCGACGACTCTCCTCTTTATGTTGATCCTTAACTTCCCCCTCTTTGGCGTAGTGACTCTTCTTATCCTTTGACTTTGTGGGCTCCTTCGTATAATCGACCAAGCTTTCTGCAACAGCGATGATAGTAGCGAGATCTTGTACTCCCTGCCTCCTAAGCTCGGTCTTCGCTTACTGTTGGAATCCATCCATGAAGTTAAACAAAACGTCATTGTCTGACATGTCAGGGATTTCAAGGACCAAGGTAGTGAACACCTTAATATATTCCTGAATCGATCCCTCTTTCTTGAGCCTTCGTAATTGGGCTCTAACCTCATCCTTCACATTTTCAGGATAGAATTGTCTATTTAGCTCTCTCTCTTGAAGTCAGTAAAGGTAAATATGGTGCACATGCCTTTCTCGATGTCTCCTCTCCTTCTTCTCCACCATAGTATAGTGATGGCCAAGAGATAAAAAGCTGTAAATTAAATTCTTGCTTCTTCATTCGTGATCCCCATCGCTTCGAAGTATTGCTCCAGTCTCCATAAGAAGTTGTCAACTTCCTTTGCGTTGTGAGCTCTTCCAAAACTTTTTTTATTTTGGAACTTCAATCATCTTAGCTTCGAAGGTGTGATAGTTGCTAGGTGTCGCTAGTGCCCTATTGTATAGTGAGATGTCCCACGCATTTTTTTCTAAAATAACACACACGTCGCTTATCTCTTCTTCATGGGCTCTTCTTACCTCTTGGAGCTCCCCCAGTTCCTCTTGAATCTTAGCCATTTGGTCCCTTAAGAACTCCTTCAATTGGAGCATCATATCTATAATCGTTGAATGGATGGTGGTGTCCTCCTCCTCGATTCCATCAACCCTTTGGCTAAGATCCTCTATCTGGGCCTCTACGTCATTCATTGCCTCCACCTGAGCAAGGCGTGAATCAAAGCCATGCATAATCTCCTTAGACCTCCCATGTGCTTTGGATGTAGTTGGATCTCGTTGCCCCTGACGACCTCGCCATTGTTGAGATGATTCCACATTAGAGGCTTCGGACTCCATTACGTTCTCTTTAACACTCTGTCATTCCTTTGAACCGAGGTTTTGATATCATCTGTCACAGACTAACTTTTCCCAAATCACCTGTGCGGTTTTAGCGCTCTTCTTTAGCACTAAATCAACCTAATATCTCTCACAAAACTTTGATATGTAAGCACAAAGCACTCTAAAAAGAAGAGTAGGGAGAAATATTTGAGAAAGGAACACTAAACTAAGAAAGAACAATTACAACACTTGAATACTTGGAAAATTGGATGCTTTCGTAGGTAATAAATGGGGGGAGGGGCTCTTATTTATAGCCCCCTCCAAGCCCAAGAGAACATTCTATAATACATAAGATTATTCTAGTTTCTAGAGAGTTCTACTCTCCTATCTTACGTAAATACATAGCACTAGAACTTTTTAGGTTACTCTTAAGTTTATCATTGGAGCTTTTCCATTTAGCATTTTTTGGAATGTAGTGGAATCTTCTAAGGTCCCATAGATGCCTCTCTATATTCTGGCATTCTCTAGAACCTTCCATCCCATGAGGTTCTTGCCAATTTCTAGAATATGGCGGAGTGGGACAGGCAGCTGACATAAGAATAAAAGAATTAAGCATAAAAATATATACTTATTTTGTTATAAGAGCTTTAACAGTTGCACTCCCTGGATTTTCACACCCAATATTTTTATAAATGGGTCATAATTGTCACCTTTATTATCTAAAGTTGCTTGTGCGTCTGTGTGTCTGAGTCGCCCATATTTTAAACATCCCCATGGAAAACGATTTGAAATCTTCAAATGAGGTCCCCAATATGAAAATGATAAGGATCACTTTTGAAATTTCTACAGTGCCGATCTCTCCTTGGGGCTAAAATGAAACTTGAAGGAGAGAAAGGGCCTTAGGGAAAGGAGAGGCCTAGGGGCGAGAAGAGACCGGAAGGAGAACAGTGGAACTAGTAGGGGCATGGTGGTTTCATTTTTTCGATTGTTCGTGCATGCGTCTGTCCGTGTCTCTATGTGTGTGTTATGTGTGTGTGTATTATGTGGTGTGTGTGTGTGTGTGCGTGTGTGTGTGCATGTATGTATGTGTGTGTGTGTGTGTGTGTGCATGTATGTATGTGTGTGCAAATCATGGTCTAGAAAATGCATAAGCTTCATATTTTAAAGATGTTAGTTTATGTTCTTAAAGTTGATGCACATCATTTACTTTTAATTTATATTTTCCATTATCACTATGTTTGATACCCATGTTGAAGTTTTCACCTCTCAAACATATCTATCCTCGGTAGTTTCTGTACCTCCTCTCGAATTAATTCAACCAAGGTGATAGTCGTATACCTCATCTTCTGCTTCATCAGCCAAGTGGATGGATTGATGTTCATTCGACAACATGCAACATCGGCTGGTCCCTGACATTTTGGAGGTTAACTAATGAAAAACTTCTCGATGCACTTGGAAGGTCTGGATGAAATATCTTTCGACCTTACATCAAGACGTTTACTTGTTAGAAGAAATTTACCCAATTTTTTTCTTCAATCGCTGGGATTTAAAGAGTGACCTTGCTAGTCTCAAAACC